TTTAACCCAAATGATTTTGCCTACTCTTCAAGGACTATTACTCATATAAGTTTGTTGTCTTAATCTCTTACCGTTTCTGAGATCTCGCTCAGATATTTTCTCACTTTGAAGACAGAAAAAACACGCGACCGGAAGTGAATTTTGCAAAGGTATTTGACGTTACTCTAGACATTTGCAATCTAAATGACATATCTAAAAATCATTTCAAATACTTTACCTATAAAAGATATTTATGGGAAAGTAAAATACTCAAATTATGGAGTTTTTCTCTTATAACCGGAAGTTGTCGTTTTTGTTTCCGGTAGGACCAACATATTTCGAAACTGCAAAAGAATTGCAATAATGTGATGCAAGATTTGATTAAAAAAAGAAAAGTTGAAAATTTCGATTTCTTTGAACACTTCCGGTGACGACCGGAAGTACTGACGGCAAAAACCAAGGTAATTTCGAACATCTAGAAGTCATGGTCTATCCTCTCTAACAAGTCTCCAGTTCATATCTTTAGCCGTTTCTTAGATCCTTCGAGGACAAAATTTCATTTTAAAATCAGGAAATTGTCCATAACTTGGCACTGGAACCAAAATTTACCAAAAAACGGAATTTTATATAAACTTCATATAAAGACCTTTTATCCCTGAAAATTTCAAAGAAATTCATTGAATAGTTTTCGAGAAATCGCGTGCACAAAATTTTGTCTAAAAAAAAAGAATAATAATAATAATAATAATAATAATAATAAGAAACAATAGAATCACTATAAGGTCTTCCGTGGAGACGGAAGACCTTAATAATAATAATAATAATAAGAAACAATAGAATCACTATAAGGTCTTCCGTGGAGACGGAAGACCTTAATAATAATAATAATAATAATAAGAAACAGTAGAATCACTATAAGGTCTTCCGTGAAGACGGAAGACCTTAATAAGAATAATAATAATAAGAAACAGTAGAATCACTATAAGGTCTTCCGTGAAAACGGAAGACCTTAATAAGAAACAGAGTAAAAACAATATGTTCCCAAACTTCGTTTGGGGAACATAATTCCCAAGAGGTAATTCTTGTACAAACAAAACGACCTGATTTCTTTATAAATGCTTGTACAATAGAAAAAAGGTTCTTTTTCTAGAGATTTATAAGAATGGTTTGAACATAAATTATGTGGGTTACATTTGTTGATCATTACCAATTTCTAATCATTATTTGAAAAATAATTAGCTAGTATAAAGACTATAAAAGCAAGAAATCTGGATAATAGCAACATTAAAAATGTGCAAATATTGAACTATTTTTAATTCTTAGCTTGTATTAGATATATTTCTCATTTAATATCAAGCATTAAACCATCTATCAGATAACAATGAATTTCGATTGCACTTTAAATTAATTTCAGAAATCAGAATTTACGTAAATAATATTACAAGCAAAATTTAACAGTTTAATGGTATATATCATAAGATATCATAAATATATATGAACAAAATATATAGCAAATTTCCAATGAAAATTTACACGTATTTGTATTAATGTTTCTGAGTTAATCCATAAATGTGATATTGTGGCCACGTGGGTAATCATTCGCCATCTCGGAGACACATTTATTATATGTTATTTATGTCTCTGGTCATCTCAACGGAGGCAAAAAGCTCATTATCGTAGGAGCAATATTAATGTAACTACCCGATTTTATTTTATCCTTCCTTCCATTTATGCCTTTTTGAGGGTAAATTGGGGGGGGGGGGGGAGGGAGGTTACAACTCCAGCTAGAATCACATCTTAGTGAAGGAGGCATTCTTTTTCCGCCAAAAATTACAATAACATTATTTTCATTTCTTAACTTTGAAATAAATCGAAATAATTAAATAACGTCAATATAACCGATATTTTAATTTGAAATGTGTCTAAATGATTGCAACTTGAATTTGTTCGCCATGTTTACTATTACCTTCACTGCTGAGATTTATAATTTCACCTCCAAAAATTTCTTTAACTTTAAAAAAAAGTGGGTGAAATATGTAAATTATTGTTATTGATCTTCGGTACGTTATAAAGAAGGGACAGCCTGTTCTTCTAAATATGTAAAGGTTGTCGTGGTAACTACGCTTGATAGGTAGTCTGAAGTCAGCCCTTGCGGCCCGTACAGTTCATTCTATCAATGCTGCTAAAATATCGATTGTTTGTAAAATTTAATCCATGCATAATAAATCTCAAAACTATGAGGTGGGACAAAATTAAGATCGTAAAAATATTTATTCAATGATGAAATGAATTATATTTAATCGTAGCAAACAAATTTATGTTTTATTAAATCGCCACAAGAAAAAATACACCAGCGTGAAAACAAGTTGTCTTCTTCAGCAGCCATGACAGTTCTTATGTGATGTAATGACTTTTGATTGAAAACGTTTAATACTGCAGTAGATTAATTTTTGTTATCACTAAACAGATACATAAATGTTTATAAGGTATTTCTTTTATTTTTGCTGCATTATTTACGTATGAAGTAAGAAAAATTCCCATATTCAGTTCAAGATCCACTCCCAAAATCTCATTGGCTGTCCCAAAATAAAATCGGTAAAGGTCAGTAAACTTTAAAGTTTGCGGTAAACTCAGACTTTACTAAATATTTTGGAAAAATTTATGCTCTGAATAATAACATTAGAAACATTTAATTTAAAATGTTCCTGATTACATTGTATGATTTCAATTAAAAAATGGAAATGATATTGTATGATCCAAAAAGAGTTGTACCCCACCCCCAGGAAAAGGCTTCATTATTGCAGCAAGAAGTACCTTCAAATTCCTACTTTCCTACTTAGGATACCCTTGCTTGGCTTATCTAAGATAATGATAATTTATGTTTCCCATATATTTTATACTTAGTATAAACAAGAGGCCCATGGGCCACACCGCTCACCTGAGCAACTATGGTCAATGACGCCAACCCAAACAGCTTTAACAAATCAGAAATATCTGTACAAATTTAGTTTTTTTATATTGAGTTTTTGATACATACTCTAACTTTGAGATTTTTCTCCAAAGATTTTCATATGTAAAATTTACAGTAAATATTCTGTCCCCCCCCCCTCTCCCATTGTGGTTGTACCCTATCATGACCCCCTGTGATCATCATCATCAAATTTGAATGTACATTATATGAATTTACATTTCAGCAAACCTCTCTTATCAAGTAGTTTTGGAAAAGAAAATTCATTAAAAAAAAATTCCTATAAATACTCCCATGGATACCCCTCCCCCATTGTGGCCCCACCGTACCCCAGGGGTCATGAAAGGTCATGATAAGATTTAAAGGAAATTGAGAATGCTTCCACATAAGTTTCAACATTCCTGGCCAAAAGGTTCTTGAGAAGAAGATTTTTAAAGATTTTCCCTATATATTACTATGTAAAACTTCAACCCCCCATTGAGGCCCCACCCTATCCCTGGGGGTCATGATTTTAACAATTTAGAATCTACACTACCTGAGGATGCTTCCACATAAGTTTCAACTTCCCTGGTCAAATGGTTCTTGAGAAGGATATGTTGAAATATTTACCAAAAAATTTCAATATTTCTTAATTATCTCCCCTTGGTAAAGGGCTTGGTCACTCAGTTTTACAATTTTGAATCCTCTTCACATAAGGAATTGCTTTGTGCCAAGTTTGGTTGAAATTGGCTTAGTGGTTTTGGAGAAGAAGTCGAAAATGTGAAAAGTTTACGGACAGCTAGACAGACTGACGACAGACAAAATGTGATCAAAAAAGCTCACTTGAGCTTTCAGCTCAGGTGAGCTAAAAAGTAAAGCACATTGCATTTGTTGAATCATAAAGATGGAAAAACTTTCAAATTTGTTAATATTCATTTCGAATTTTCAATAACTATAACAGGTTTAAACAGAACTGAAGCAAACATTTTGTTTCCAAAAATCGAATCAAAATTATTCAAAAACCGAGGTTTTTGTTTTAATCGAATTGATTCAAAATATTACTTATTCAAGGATATTACATTAATTTTTATCAAAACAGACAGTCATGAGAGCATTTTCTTATATCATATATAAAGTACATTTGATATTCTTATTTTTTATTATGATCTCTTGAACAACCAGTATGTTTTTTTTCGGGGGGGGGGGGGGGATTTGCAAGAAAATCTGTTCTGCTTCACATCTGCTAAATTGTGTAGAAATACCAGTATAGCACATTTGTCCATTTTCATTTCTGCTTTTACAGATTATATACATGTCTATAACCTGTGTATATATAAAGTATATGTATTAGCAGTGCTTAATAACTCTTTTATTGTTGAGGTCATATTTTGAACAAGTTGAGACCTGCAGTGTTAAAATTGTTACAAAAATTTTTACACCTTTAGTTTAATAACTAATTGTGTAAAAATACCAGCTAAACACATTTCTTCATTTTCATTACTTTGCTTGATATGTGTCAGTAGTGCTCAACTCTTTGTTGTTGTCATATTTTCAATAAATATCCATAATTTCTTTTATCAAAGTTTGGAAAGGTGAAATTTATGTAAGCTCCGGCGTGATTCGAACTCAGGACTTGATTTATAGCTAACTGGTGGTCAAACCCATTCTGCGCTACACTGTTACGCAACAATTTTGCAAAAAACAAAAACAAAAAAACAGAATTATATTCACATTCATTGTTTATTTCAAAAGTACCTTACAATATATGAATGTGTCGATGTATCTATTTTGTAAATGTCCGATATGCACATGGATGCATTCATAACAATGTCAACCCGTGCACGCACGGGTCAAAGTCTAGTGTAATTAAAATTAGCAAGGGTGCCTCTTCCAATATTTTGAATTTCATTGCCCAAGGGTAGGGAGATCTGGTGTTATCATAGGCTCTATTGATTATAAAGTGAAAATGCATTAATTCTTCAAAAATCTCTCAGCTCCTGGTATTTAGCAGACCAACAAAGTACATGTTTACATGTATGATGAGCAAGGGTGCTTCTTCCAAAAAATACAATTGATGGCCCTTGGGTAAGGGCTTTAGTGTTAGGATGAGATTGTATTAATCATATAGTAAAAATGCATTAATTCTTTAAAAATCTGTTCTGCTCATGGGTATAAAGCAGACAGTCTGCATGATTATGATTAGCAAGGGTGCCCCTTCCAAAATGGCCCCTGGATAAGGGTTCTAGTGTTAGGGTGGGGCTCTATTAATCATATGGTGAAAATGTATTTAAATAATTCTTTGAAAAACTTCTTCATTGCTCCTAGGTTTTAAGCAGGCAATCTAAGTGCATGGTTATGATGAGCAAGGGTGCTTCTACATAAATTGTGAATTTCATGGTCCCTTTGTTGGGTGTTCTGGTGTTAGGACATGGTTCTCTAGGTCATTTAGTGAATATTCATAATTTTTTTTTAATATTCAGCATCTAGCAGGCTAACCAATTACATACATGTAATTAGCAATGGCCTTTTTTTAAACCAGATTTGTGAGATGGGTGACCACTGGGGTTAGAGATTCTGGTGGTATGCAAGGGTCTATTGATCAAGTAGGGAAATTTGAGAAAAAATTTCCCCTTTGATTATTAATGTTAAGGAATTCAAAATAAAATCATGGTTAATTATGTAATCATAAGTTCATTTGCATTTAAAAAATATACATGAAGTTTTAATGTGTAATACAAAAAGCACTTGTATAGTTTTTAATGGTCAGGTAGACTTCTAAATGATAAATAAATATATTAAACTAAAAATATCTTTTACACTCTAAATATTATTGATGGACCCCCCCCCCCCCCCCACACACACACACACACACTTCATCTTAAGACAGACATTTTTTTTTTCAATTCTCTGTAGAGTATCTAAGCTATAGTAGGTCACAATATATCTTAAATTTTAATTACATTTGAGTATTATTATAAATAATACTCTATGTGAAATTGATACATTTATGAAACAAAGAAATTACACAATTATCAAATTTTAATCTTAGTCATAAGATTTTCATGAATAGGACTATACAGTTTGTTTTTTACATTTCTGTTTTTTTTTCTTTGTTTTTTTGTACAGACATGAAGTGAAAGATGTAGATACTTGTGAGTCGTGTGGAAATGTTGTGAAGAACTGGTGCACAAATGGTAAACGACCTGAGATAACACTCCAAATTAATGGAAAACCTTACAAAGGTGATGCATTATAAATTCACTGAAGGACTATGTTCAGTATTGACCAATATCTGCCCCCAAAATCAAACTTTTATAGAGAAATCTGTAATTATGTTCTAAATCAGGGAGGTATCTGCAGACTTGAGAGCATTACCTATTTTCATCAGCTATGACGTCATATATTAGATATGACGTCAAGAAGATGACATAAATTCAAATTTTCAATGATTTTGAAAGAAAAATGTGTATTTTACATCAATATTTTGATTAAAAGTCATCGAGCGCAGGTCTGCCCCAGCTCCATCTTTTGATATAATGAGTAGAATTTTAATATCCATCAAATATGTGAATATCGTTCTGGAGCAAATTTGTGCCCAGTAAATTCTATACTTAAAATTAAACAAGTTTTGGTCCTTTTGTCAATTATCTCTAAAATAATGGAAAATTCAAATAGTTTGTGACGTCACAGAAACAATTATTAATAAGCATTGACCGCATTTAGTTTTTTATTTCCAAAATGTTGGAGAACATACTTAAAGGTCCACAAAATGAAGATAATAAATGAAAGAGTTCTTCCACATTTCATAATTAATAATTGGCTTATCAGTTACATGTACATGTATTGTAATTATGTGAATTAAAAGGATGAAGAAGAAAAATTTTTATTTAATTGTGATTTTAATATTATATATCTTGACTACCAGTATCATGAAATAGAACACTGAGCATGACTGCAGGATATACTTGTAGTATATTTAGTGTAATATTGAATTTTTAGTTGGAAGTGAGTACCATGGCGCCACATCCCTGTGTACATTTTTACGTGAGTCCAGGATTTCCATGGGGACCAAGTACATGTGTAAAGAAGGTGGCTGTGGGGTGTGTCTAGTACAGGTGGAGTTGTTGGAGCCGATGTCAAGGGAACCAAAATCTTATGCTGTGACTTCAGTAAGTTGATACCAATGGCAGTAAGAGTGTAATCATGGTATCCTTCCATAACAGGAGGAAACACAGTGTCTGTTTCCCTGTCTGTCAGTCTATCTGTCATTAAATGATTTATCATGTTTGTGTTCAAGCTGATGATTCAAGCTGTTGCATTACCTTGAAACCTGGTCATATTTCACTGTTACAGGTCAAGGTCATTAGGCATGAGATATTGAAATCTTGATACAAAACTTGTAGAGTCCATAACCTTGAAAACTCACTACCTTTAGAAATTATATTGAATCTCCTGCATGATAATGTTAACTGTTGTGTAAGATGTGTACAGTAATTAGAGTGATTGATGTGTAAGATTCAAAGATATTCATTTAGTGAAGATGAGTCTAATTGAAATAAGATTTGTCATGCCAGTCTTTTGTCCTTTTATCTGTCTGTCCATTGCACCACATTTAGCTCAAAGAAACTGTTCAAGATATTTTAACCAAAATTTATTCACAGATACATATCAGTAAGAGCTATTCAAGTGTATATAATTTTCTGACCTTGACCTTTCCTGTGACTTTGACATCATTATTCCCTATTTTGTGTTTAGCTCAATTTCAAAGTCACTATTTGAGTTATTTTTGATCTTTTTATTTTCGCTGACATTGTACTTTCACGGCGTTCAATGTTTGTGATGTCAAAATTAAAAGTCATAACTTAACCTTTAAACCTCCCAATCCATGTTATGGTGCTTTGAATGATGTTTCTTTCCACACAATACCTATGGAATAAATATTTCAAACTAAATGTTCAGAAGACTAAAAGAGGCCAGTGGAAAAGGGAACGAGATAAGCTTACTAATAGTGCTCAAGCACTATTTTTTGCTTAGTTTACGTGGTGATCGTGACATATAGGGGCAAGTGCAGGCAAGTAAATATATCTACTTTAAGATTTGTGATGGAGGACTAGACTAATTATTTTGTTTATCCCTGATCATCCTATTTCTCTTGCTTTTGGGCAACATAGCTTCATCTATCAGTTTATTTTAATTGCTTTATTTCAAACTTCTGTTGATCCTTTACAGTGTTGTATTATACTCAGGTGACCGTTAAGGCCTTTGGCGTCTTGTTTATTAAAGTGCATCTAGTTGTTGATACCCAGGTATTTAAATTTAAACAAAATTATAACACTAAGCATTACATTTTGGAGAATGTATTGTAACATGATAATTTTTTTTAATAGCACACACACAAAGATGGCAAGATACGTAGTTTGTAAAAATGCTACCAGAGGAAATATAATACTGTGCATTGAACTAGAACTTTTGTCTTAAATCTCCCACTTAAGTTATGTATCCAAGACTCTTACATCTGAGGCCTGTTCAACAGAGCGAACGATCGCGAGAACTCGTGAACATTTCCTTTGGAAATATAAGGAATTTAGGCGAGCGCTCGCAAACGTTCGCTCTGTTGAACAGGCCTCTGATTTTATGGCCAGGCCTCAGAATGTCAGTTAAATGCCGGTTTGGAAATTTAAAAAAATAAACAACAACATTAAATGACAGCAGAAATACATATACATACATTGACTAATTTCTTCTTTATTTCTTATGAAAATCATATTGCTGTCACAATGTAAATGGAGCAAAGTTGATGCGACTTCTAAACTTGCTAAATCCATTTTTTAAAGGTATGGGTAACTCAAAATTATAAAAGAAGTGTTTATAAAGGTCAACAGCTGATCATGGCTCATCCATCTTTGCAATGTACAAATTGATGAAACAATATTTTACACACATTCACCAGCTTGATCTGGCTAATTTAATGATAGGTTGAGTAAATAATAATAATAAACTTTGTAGTGATTTATTTAGGGTATATCAGTTGCAGTCATTGCAGAAAAAAATTACTTTTCAACTGATGTGCTAGCTGCTCCCCAACAAAATAGACATTGTCTGTAGGTCTTTGATGGGATTTTCTATGCTACTTGAGGATTTCTCAGATTTTGGAAGACGATTTAATTAGCTCATATTTAGCTGAATTTATTTATTTCTCAAAAAAAAGCTATAGTTAGCTGCTTCATGCAATGAGTAGTGTTAGATTTGTAAGCTAGGTAAGGAGGATAAACAGGGTAAATGGGCAATGGGATAAAGAGGATAGGAGGAGGGGAGCTTAGGAGAGGGTAGCAGGAGAAGAGGGAGGAAGGGGATAATGAAAAAAGAAGAAGAGTGGTCAAGGGATATATCAGAAAAAAATAAATATGCTTTTATAATTATGTATTATTACCCACAAATGTTTATGTTCCGAAGTACAGAAGTTAGACGTATACAGTTAAAGTATATCATTGAGGGGAACTGGAATCTTGCTAACTCCCGCAATGATATACTTTTAACTGTTTTATTATACCGATACAAACGTAAAATTTAGAGGATTCAGATAGCATGATTTCAAAGCAGGGATTCAATAGCTCACTGAACTAACTTATAAATGGGGATTAGTCCATTCACATATCATACCAATGTTAAAGTAAAACCTAGAGGATTATGGATAACCAGGAATTAGCTTTCGAAGCAGGGATTAGTTTACTTGACTAACACATGGGGATTAGTCCATTCTTAACGATTTCTAGGGAAATAGTCACATCTAACGATCTAATGTTATATAGGGAAAAAATCAGTAGAGGTATAATAAATATCTTTAACTTATATGTTGTTGGTAACCATTCTATAATAGCTATTGCACTGTCCCTAATGTAACAAGGATTTTTGTAACTTTTTTTTCTACAGTGCATGGTGCCCCTGTTTTCCTGTGATGGGTGGGAGATAACCACCATTGAAGGCATTGATTCTACCAGTGATCAGTCTGTCCCTAAACGCCTCGCCCAGTATAACGGCAGTCAGTGTGGCTTCTGTAGTCCCGGACAAGTCATGAATATGCATGCGTAAGTCATAATTAAGACTATAAACACACAGAGTTAAAGTGCATCAATGAGAGAGTTAGTCAGATTAAATGTATTTCCTGAAGTTGGATATAGACTTCATCTACGAGCAGTGTGCACAAATGTCATCTACCAGTGCTGCATTCTGTGATAATTCTGTAACCCACAACATCACTGATTGGCTGAAATCAAAGATGGATCTTGAGTAGTCTGTAGATGACACCAAATTTTTGCAACACCTTAATTATTATCAGAAGATACATGTAATTATATATTTTGTAATTATAGGTTAAATTTTCACGAATTCTGCTTATTGTTGTATATAATCTTTCATAATAAAAATATGGGTGATCACGCGATTGAGGATCAAATTTTCACGAGCAGGGGATCTTGAATAATTATAGGAAAATAAATTAAGCTCTTGCAAGAGGTTTTACATTAGGTCAGGTGATGCAGACTCCTCCAATTGCTCTCGATAGTTTCTCCTCTCTCCCTTCCAATTATGGAGATAAATTAGAGCTTGACACAAAATGTAGATAGAGAGGCATCTTGTTGTCAAACACTGTATTAGATCACCACTGACTTTAAAGGTCAAGGTCATGGCAAAAAAACTTTTGAAAATTGCTCTTAAAGTGTGATAGGGACAATTAATTAAAAACCTTTTTGTTGGCATTCTCAATATTTTTTACACATTTCTGTGACAGGAATGTGAAATCTGTTTGCATGGATTCATGATTTAAAATGTTGATATGTGAAAGCAAATTTTTACTGATCATTAATATTAACAGTTCCTTTATAGTATAGAAGTGTTAACTACACTTTTGTAAATTTATTCACTTTTTACTGTATCACGTATGGTTTGATTTTAATAAAAGAATAGATAAAATAAATATGTTTATTCTGAAATTTCTTATGCAGACTTTTAGATTTCCATGGAGGAGGAGTTACAAAACAGATGGTAGAAGATGAATGTGATTCAGTGATTTGTCGTTGTACTGGTAAGAGGGGATGCTATACAATTATTGCTGGTTTTTGAGGTCAATACGATGATTTAGACACCTGAGGAGTACAATATTCACCGAGCCCGAAGGGCGAGGTGAATATTGTACTTCGAAGGTGTCTAAATCATCGTATTGACCTCAAAAAACAGCAATAACTGTTTTATTATATGATTAAATGATAGCAAACTCCTACAAGACTGTTTTTTTTTGCTTTAATTGAAAGTTTTAACGAGAAATTTCAACAAGAACACATTGTAACATGAAAAAATGGAACAGGAATAATTCATGATATTGACCTGCAATAATTCCTTATATTGACCTGGAAGGTCACGTGATTCATTATATTGACCTGCAATAATTCCTTATATTGACCTGGAAGGTCACGTGTAGGTCAATATAACGTAGTATATTTCTAACATTGTTGGATCTCAGCCAATCAGAAAGAGGGAAATTATTCAATCATATAATAAAGTTTATTATTTGAGGCTTTAATGTTGGAGAGAAATAAGTTTGTAAAAAAAAAAGTTTTTTCCAATTTAAATTCAGAACAGTGTCACTTATTTAATGTAAGATTACTTTAATGCCAGGTTTTATTAAAAAAAATAAATTCTTGCTAAGTTGATGAAAATACTCTCTGTCTACCCCCCCCCCCCCCCCCAAAAAAAAAGAATTTATGTTATAGGTCATTACCTGATATTTATATTGAAGGTTACAGATCTATCCTGGATGCCATGAAATCATTTGTTAAAGATGGAAATCAAAAGGTCACAGATATTGAGGTAAAATTATTAGATTGATTGTGTTGAATTTGATAGATGAAGTTCATTTCTTTGCCCAGCACAAAAAAAAATCATAAGGTGGGGCTAGGAGAGGGTAGGGGGAGTTAAGAGGGTTAAACATATTATTGTTATTATTGTTTATGTTTCACAATATGTGACCTTTATACTGTAGATTCCTAATTATATTCAAGGAATTTATTGTCACGTATTTTTGCAAAAAGTAACACTCATGAAATAAAATCACTCGCTTTTTTTATATTGCTGATAAGCATGTAAAAATTCTGGATCCAACGACCAATTGGGGATTTATGTTCTCCTGATTTAACATCTATGAGTCATTTCGCTAAATTAAATACTTGCGTAAAATAAGGAGTCTACAGTATTCAAGTCCACCCAGGGTTACTTTTGCATTGGTTGCTGTTCAAGTAATACATGTAGACTCTAAGCTCTCTCATCAATTTGTGATTTCAGATGTTGTTAAAGATGTAATGGTTTATATTCTAGTTCATGAATTTTCCCATTGACCAGACTTTACAAAGTGACCCTCATTCAATGCCATACTTTTAAGTTCAAGATCAGGAAAGTTTTGTGCAAATTAAGGCACATTATCATAAAATTTTGAAGATAATCACATTTCCTCTTCTTTAATCCACTGGAATTTTTTTGCTCATTGAAACATCTAAAATTAGGGAATAACTATCTTCTCAATTGTTATTTGCGTTAATGCTTATTTAATGGTCGCAAACTGAGTTTGACCAGTGACATGTCAGCGGAGCCAGAAAAACGGATGTTTGCAACTGTTAAATCAGCATTAACAGTCGCAAATAAAAAATGAGAAGATAATTATTCCCATTCTAATGCAATTTATGCATTTTGTTTGATGTTAATGTCTTATTTAATTGCGTTTTGTTATATGAAATACGTCTTGAAGGGTTTTGTTTTTGCATCGTTCTATAATGACGTCACAATCAAAAGCCTTTGTTCTTTTAAATACTCATTTAACTGCTTCAAACATCAGTCCATAAGCCAACCAAAATGTGTTTTACAAACAATTGCGTTAGAATCAGTAATTTTTGGCCTCATTGCAAAGCTTCTATGTTCTCAGTTCTCTGAATTGACCAGTTTGGTCTATTTTAGATGACCATCATCACATTACCTTTGACATCAGAGAAGTTATAGGATAAGGATGTGCAGATCCTGTGAGGATTATTATAAACATTCTAATTTTAATTGTATGAAATGCTTTTCACTTGCAGATTTGACACTGAATCCATATTATTCTACTTTGAGTAACCTATGGAAATGGATTCAGTTAAGGGGTTAACATTTAGACTGAGAATTTTCAGTTTTGTCAAATGACTATTTAGTGTATCTTTAATAACCTTGGAGTTCCCCTTACCTTCCAAACCAAAAATAAAGTTGACCTTTATGGGTGTTTGTAAAATTTCTATATTCCATATCTCATTTGTCATATGTACCTGTGTAAATTCTTTAATTTGATGTCATATGAACCCTTGTAAAATTCTTATACTTGATATCATTTGTCATATGGATCTGTATAAATTTTCCTCTTTGGCATTTCGTATTTCACATGAACCCTTGTAAAATTCTTATACTCAAAATCTCACATGTCATATGAGCATTTGTAAAATTTTTATATTTGCTATCTCATATGCACCCTTGTTAAATTCTTATATATTTGAAACCATTTGTCATATGGACTTGTGTAAATTCTTATATTTGACATTTTACATTTGATATCTCATACAAAGTGAAGCCAAATCATTTATGGTGTAAAGTTAACAATTTTTTCAAGTACATCAAATGACATTTTTCTTGCAGTTTCTTCATTTAGTTGGTAATTAATTATTTATGACAACAATTAAGATATACCATCTTTACTTATTCTTGTTTATGGAATGTTGCAGGATGTACACACCAAGCGCTGTGAGCGGACCGGTCAGATCTGTACAGGAAGTTGTCACAAACAGAGCTCACAGCTAGCCTTAAAAGATGTGCAGTGGTTCAAACCAACTACTGTAGAGGATCTCATCAAAATGATAAAGGACAACAAGGGCAAGAACTGCAAACTGGTGTTTGGAAACACAGGATATGGTATTCAATTCATTTTTATGTGGAGGATCTTATGACTTGTTTGAAATAAAGGGGATTGATTTGATATGTTCTATTATTTCATAAAAAGTTTTTTTTTGTAATTGAAATGAAATTATATGGAAGAGATGAAAGAGTTGACTATGATTAAAATAGATCAATGAATATAAGAAAACTGATAACTGGATAGTGACTGTGGACTGCGTTTTACAGTAAGAGAGCTGAATTACTGCTTGTTTTCTGTTGTTGAAAGGTGTTTACAAAGAGCTAGGTCTGTGGAACTACAGTATACTGATTGACCTTAGAGGAGTGGCTGAAATGTACAACACAGAAGTAAGCTCAAAACATGAAATAACCGGATTTCAGGGTTTTATGAAAAACAAATGTTATGTAATACAAAACTATACTTCTTTAGTATTTTATTTCACATTGGCAGGAATGTCAGGGTTTTTTTTTTTTACAATTTTTTTTTGTCTATGATACCCCCCCCCCCCCCCTTTTCTTCTAAATCAATATTTCTAGTCAAAACTGTATGACATTAATTTGAGTTTGCTCCAGTCAAGGGTTTCATAGACATTGCCAAGACATGATCTGGTTATCTGGTTGCCTGGTTACCATGACCTTTGGGATGTGATCAACAAAGTTTAGGTCATTGGCAACATTTAATACAGTATAGATTGACAAAGGGTTTCAAAATAAAATTGAACCAACAATATTTGAACATCCAATTGCCCAGTAATCTTGAGATATTGACTGTGAGTCAAGGTGATATTATACATTTCTAGGTCAAGAGCAACAATATAGTCAAGTTAGAATTGACATTAGGCTCAAGGTTCCCAAAGATAAAGAATTAAATTAAAATAAACTTATTCAACTTAGAAAGTTAATAAAGTGATTGCTTTGATGAAATTTTTTTTGGAATTTGGTTTTTGGGTTAAAGAATTTAGCCATTATCAGTATACTTTAATGTACTTAATAAAATTAGCCCACTCAAATTTTATGCTCTTTCCTTCTCAACTGGTTAGCACATAATCAGAGCATTCAAGTTATAAAAAGAACATATTAGTTGTAATCATATATAAGCATATACAAGAAGCACTCGGAAAGGTGCTATATAATACGATTACTGCTAAAATAAGTATGTTTATATAGTATATACAGTAAAACTCGTTTAGTGCGAACACGGATGTAACAAATTCACGGATATAGCGAAGTTTTTCGGGATCCCCGGCAAAATTCTTAACAATTCTTTGTAAAAAAAATTTACGGTTATAACGAACTGATTTTGAGTCCTGTAGAGGTTAAAATTAATGTGTGATTTTTTTCTCATGAAAATATATGTTAAAGATAGTCTCTATAAAAATTAGTTTTTATTATCTATAGATTGGTTCTTCTGAACTTGTACTGGGAGCCAATTTAACATTATCCCAACTGAAAGAGCTCTTGAATCGAAAATCCAGTGACCCGCAGTTTGGTTACTGTAAGGAGATGTGTAAGACTATCTCTAAAGTGGCCACCAACGCTATCAGAAATGTAAGGACAAATTTATAAAATTAATATGATTTACGCATTTTACATAGATTAACTGTCTGTATTTAGACTGCAAATGGTACATAACTCTGTTAGCTTTCACTGATTTTGTAAACTGTGCAGTCACCCCAAACTTAATATATGCATTTTGGTTTACAGCTTGGCACTTGGGCAGGAAACTTGATGTTGAAACACAAACACCCAGAGTTTCAATCAGACATCCACACCATGCTAGAAACTGTTGGAGCTCGGCTGAAGTTAGCCGGTATAAATAACATTTACTTTAGTTTAATTTGTTACCTTGATTTGCAATGAATTTCCTAATACATGTATATGACTTCTCAAAAGATGTAGAATTACTTTTAAATGCAAATTGAAAACAGCGTACAACAAATTTTTCCTGTGACATAATAAAAAATATTTCCATTTCTATTTGTTTTCTCTGTGATAACTCTTTGAAAGTTAGGACAGTTGATTTCTTGATCATTCCACCGGAATGCAAATTTCGCCAAGCGAAAGGTCAGGAGCTAAGAAGGCCTAATATTCATGTAATTCTCGTGCGGCTGTTTTGTGTCTGACTCTAACACTGTCTAAGGAGACCTAATATGCATGTAACTCTCGAGCGGCTGTCTTTGTGTTTGACGTCAGTGGGCGGGGACTATTGAAATTGACATGTGAGGCCTCGTGTAATTTAAATCTATTAGTCTACATTTTTAAAATCTAAATTTACAATTTTATTTCACAATGAAATGGAAATACTCTACTAACTAGACAGTGATTCCTTAAATAATCACATTTTGAACTTGCCCAATGTTCTATAGAAAGGGAAATAACTCTTATTAAATATTGCTTCATACATGTATTTTGTAAACAGTTGTAAATGGTGAGACAAAGGTTATTCCAGTTTCTGAGTTCTTGAGTCAGGACATGACAGACTGTGTTATAGTGGCCATGTTCTTAAATTCAGTCCCAGACAATCACCACATAAGGATTTACAAAGTCAACAAACGCACACAGGTCAGTGTTAGCAACCTTTAATTCACAACAAACGCACACAGGTCAGAGTCAGCACCCTTTAATTCTCAACAAACGCACACAGGTCAGAGTTAGCACCCTTTAATTCTCAACAAATGCACACAGGTCAGAGTTAGCACCCTTTAATTCACAACAAACGCACACAGGTCAGAGTTAGCACCCTTTAATTCACAACAAACGCACACAGGTCAGAGTTAGCACCCTTTAAGTCAGCTTTTTAATTTAAGAAATGTTTTAACATGCATTCAAAAAACAATTGAAAGGAATCTAATTAATTTCCACAAAAATTTACAAAAAATATCTGTCATCTTAAGTATACATGTATAAACCAAAACCAAGACCTCTTATTTGTCCTCATGCAGGGCACCTAATTATTAAGTCACTGCGGTAAGTGTCTTCAGCATTGTAGCTTCTGTGGTAAAAAAAATATGTTTGTTTAGCTGTTACCTGACCAACCCTACTTTTATGTCCCAAACCCAAATAATTTTTGTTGTGGTAAAATCGGGTTATTGCATGTCTTTATGTTTCCCTTCAAACATAACCATTAATACATTTAGATCATAAGGTTACCTTTCAGTAGCCCTTTATAGAGCTGTCTGGTAGTTTTTAGGGCTAGATGAAGAGAGCTTCAAATTGCCTTTAAAATATTGTATTTCATAAGTATAATGCCTTTATGTAAAACAAAATGAATGAAAAAAAAAAAAAAAAAAAAAAAAACTTCCTAACAACCCTATTTTTGATTAGCTTTTAATAATTAACAAACATATCTTTTCTTAAGCCTAAGACAAAACTGATATGTTCACACTAAGATGAAGGTACACTACATATACATACATGCAGAGAGAGAGGAGAGAAAGTTTTTTTAATAGAAACAGATTTATATAAAGAATGTATAGTATTCACATATAATCCTTTAAAAGACTTTTAAACTTTCATCGCATTGCCTGTTGTCCAAACATCCTAAATAACTCATTGTTTTGAATGTTAATTAAAAACAATCATGTTTTATTGATTTCAATAGAATTCTCACTCTGATGCCAATGCCGGGATGAATTTTGACATTGATGCAGGAAAGAATTTTCTGGTGAAAAGCAAGCCAACCATTGTATTTGGAGGAATTAACAAACATTTTGTAAGTTCATATTTGAGCATTTCTGATTTGATACAATATTAAATGTTTGCAGTGATCAAAAATATTCATAAGTACCACATTGCATTAGCCTGATTACTTGCTCTGTCTGTTTAGGTTATTAATTTATCTGGGAACAACCTGATCATGGTTTGTTAATTTTTTTCAGGTCCATGCCTCAAAAACAGAGGAATTCTTAACTGGAAAAGCTCTTGGCAATACAGATACTTTAACACGTAAAATAAATTTTATTTATGTGAAACCCCTGTCACACCTGGACTGCGTCCTCACAGCAATCGCAAGGCATCCATAAAAAATGCAAAGCGCCGAGGTGAGCGCAGTAGAGATTCCTACAGCGCCGTGACAACATGGCGAGATCTCAACTGAACATGGAAGGGTCGCGTAGGGTCTCCTAGAACTCCAGGGGACAGCGTGCACTTTGGGCATGCACAAAGTACGCGCCGTGTGATCGTGGTCTGATAAGAACGCAGTAGAAACGTAGCATGATTGCTGTAGCAGTGTGGTGAGATCTGCAACAACGCAGTTGGGGCTCCATAGGCACGCCATGAAGACCCACATGATCGCAGCATGAACGCAGTCATAGTAGACTGCGCTTTCACAGAGACCTCATGCAGTCCATTGGAGATGTCACTGTGTTTAAGAATACACTGTGAACAGTGGTGAACGTATTGAGAACACAGCTAGTGCAGTGAGAATGCCATGACCGCGAGATGACAACTCCAAGCATGCTGTGAAGATCTCTGTGGGAACATAGTAGCACGCCGTGAGAACGCCGTAGAAACGCATCGGTCACTGTAGGGACGCCGTGACATCTTCACAATGTGAAAATTTTACAGAAATTTGTGCAATTTTCCTGTGATTCCATGGCGATTTTAAGAATTTAACAACGCCGTAATAACTCTGGTGGGACACAGCTTGGTGTGACAGTGCCTTTACATATATGAATTTTATATTATGGCATACTTTGCAGTACAAATCCTACAGTTTATACAATAGAAGTGAAATACTGAAGTAAATTATAATATCTTTCTTTTAAACAGGTGCTTTGTCGTTATTTACCCAGGAGGCAGTTCCAGATGAGGTGAATCCAGTTTTAACATCTGTGGATTTTAGGAGGAATGTGGCAGCAGGACTGCTTTACAGAGTGAGTACTTGTATATAAATTTATATTCTCATCACAAACAGTTATATTATTTTTTTTTCTGGTCCAGTTTTTAAGTATCCATCGCATCACATAGTATAGCATTATCCATCTGTCCATCATTTGACTCTGTCCATTCAACTAGACCTCTGTCTGTTAGCTTTATCATAATGTTTTACACTGTGAGGCTTAGGACCATCATATCTTGTCAGTAAATGCACCTAGGAGAGGGTGTATTACAACTCAAAAAATAGGTCGTGGTAACCTCATTTTGGAATTTTCATGCTACACATAGTCAAATTGCATCAGGATATATCTGAGACACACCTAGAAAGATCACACCTTGTCAGATGACACTTCTTGGCAAAGTAGTTGTGACCCAAAAGTAGGTTGCACAGTGCAAGACCTAGAATCATCAAACCTTGTCATATCTTGTCAGTTTAGGCATCTAGTGTCATGACTTAACTTATCTTACACATTTTGATACCTAGAATCATCAAACTTGTCAGTAGATGCATCTTTTGAAGAAAGTATGTCATGACCTTAAATTTAGGTCACTGTGACCCCAATTTAGAATTATATAGCTATACATAGTAAAAGAATGTCACATGCAGAGTGTGATATTGTCAGTTTATGCATCTTGGCAGGAAAATGTTTTATGACCCTTGACCTTATTTTGGAATTCTATAGCTATCCAAAATCAAATATCGTCTAAGTCATATCTTTCACACTGTAAAACTGTGAAACATCAAACTTTGTCAGTTGAGGAAGGGGAGTTGTGATTCAAAAGTACACTCCTTTTGGCATTATATTGATACATGTACCTTATAGAGAACTTCAGGTATGTGTATTAACTTTATTTCAATGTAGTTGCAACTTAGTTTGGCTTAGAATATGCATAATGTAGTTTCAGATGGGCATATCATTTATCTTTACATTGCACATTATTTAGAATATAGTATTTTTTGCTATTGATTGTTTCACATTCTAATTGAAGTTTGTGTTGGATGTCCTTGGAGACAAGGTCAGTCCTCTATACAGAAGTGGAGCTACCCCACTGTCTAGACCTTTGTCCTCGGGAAAACAGAGTTACGACACCAATCCCACAGTATGGCCCCTCACACAACCAATATCCAAAGTGGAGGCCTACAATCAGGTACCACTAAAGTACTACTCAAAAACACAAATTTCTGGGAGGTTCTGGAATGTGTGTACTGTTTAGGTCTTGTATGATCACTGTCTTCCTTCAACAGACCATTGGTAAAGCAGAATACATCAATGACATACCAGAAAAACCAGGGGAATGCTACGCCGAGTTTGTTCTGAGTACAGAGGGTAATGCCAGAATACAGGATATTGATCCTTCAGAGGCTTTGGTAAAGAAATTAGTTTTAATTCAAAGTTAAGCAGTTTTCATTTGTTGACATGAGAAAATGCTGGATTAATTTTGTTCATGACTTTATCATTAAATAACCTTTGTTGTTGTTTGTAGGGGATGTCAGGAGTACTGAAATTTATAGCAGCTGAAGATATTCCAGGGGTTAATAATGTAGCTCCCTCTCCATATCCTACAGAGAAGGTAAAGTTGATACAGTAAAACCTGGGTACAGGGAACATGCTTATGACAAACTCTTGTTTACAGTGGAAAGATTTTCATTCCTCAAAGAGTTTAAACATATTATCAACATAATGGGCATAAAGAATGACGTTTATAACAAATAAACATTGATTGTCCCTGGACTTCCTACAAGTGTATTTTACTGTATAGGGCACTGTTGTCCTTTTCCAAATCTTTCTGAGAAAGTAAAGCTGGTAGAGGGCAATGTTGTTCTTATCTATATCCTACAGAGAATATAAAGCTGATAGAGGACAATGTTGTTCTTATCCGTATCCTACAGAGAATGTAAAGCTGGTAGAGGACAATGTTGTCCTTATCCGTATCCTACAGAGAATGTAAAGCTGGTAGAGGACAATGTTGTCCTTATCCGTATCCTACAGAGAATGTAAAGCTGGTAGAGGACAATGTTGTTCTTATCCGTATCCTACAGAGAAGGTAAAGCTGATAGAGGGCAATGTTGTTCTTATCTATATCCTACAGAGAATGTAAAGCTGGTAGAGGACAATGTTGTTCTTATCCGTATCCTACAGAGAAGGTAAAGCTGATAGAGGGCAATGTTGTTCTTATCTATATCCTACAGAGAATGTAAAGCTGATAGAGGACAATGTTGTTCTTATCCGTATCCTACAGAGAATGTAAAGCTGATAGAGGGCAATGTTGTTCTTATCTATATCCTACAGAGAATGTAAAGCTGGTAGAGGACAATGTTGTTCTTATCCGTATCCTACAGAGAATGTAAAGCTGATAGAGGACAATGTTGTTCTTATCTATATCCTACAGAGAATGTAAAGCTGATAGAGGACAATGTTGTTCTTATCTATATCCTACAGAGAATGTAAAGCTGATAGAGGACAATGTTGTCCTTATCCGTATCCTACAGAGAAGGTAAAGCTGATAGAGGACAATGTTGTCCTTATCCGTATCCTACAGAGAAGGTAAAGCTGATAGAGGACAATGTTGTCCTTATCCATATCCTACAGAGAAGGGAAAACTGGTAGAGGACACTTTTGTTCTTTTCTGTATCCTATGGAGAAGGTAAAGCTGGTAGAGGACAATGTTGTTCTTATATGTATCCTATGGAGAAGGTAAAGCTGGTAGAGGACAATGTTGTCCTTATCAGTATCCTACAGAGAATGTAAAGCTGATAGAGGACAATGTTGTCCTTTCCCATATCCTACTAAGAAGGCAAAAGTGATAGGAAGGCACATTCTAACAAATTTATGAAATTTATGCCCTTTCAATACCAATGAAGTGACTTGGGCATCAAGACATGTCTTAAAATCTGAATAACATACTTAACTTAAACAAATTTTGATTCCATATTAAGATACGACAAAACTGTGTTGATAAAAAGAATCTGATTGGCATGACACTTGTAAAGATGCCTTGCATAAAACAAGCTTAATGGTGTAGAAATGTATATCTTATCTACCTATCTAAAGCTTTAGCAGATAAGCTGCTCTTTGAACAAAAACTTGACATGTTGTACTGTATTTATATTTATTCCCTTGCAGGCTTTAGCCAGTGACATAGTGGAGTATAATGGTCAACCATTAGGAATCATTGTAGCAGGTTTGTGACCTTATTTTATCAAATTGCAAATTTAAGAATCCTAGTCCTCACAGTTTTTTTTTTTTTTTTTTTTTTACAATTTTGCTTCTCTTCCAATAAACTCTGATTCTTTTCCATGGCAAAAAGCATAATCAATAAGATTTAGCTCCATTTTTATTATTACATGTAATCTGCCTGGAGAGGACTTTATTATTCTGTTGAGAATTAGGAGAGGGGGTTAAATTTTATTTAAATGAGCATTACTGATATAAAAGAATGGATGAATGTATTTCATAATATTTATTTTTCATATAGAAACACCAGAGATAGCTAAAATGGCTGCTAGAAAGGTCAAGGTCACCTACTCTGATGTAAAGCCTCCCATTCTAACAATAGAAGATGCCATTGAAAAGAATTCCATATTTCCAGATGAGGCTGAGAAAATCATTGTTGGTGATGCAGATGGTAATAATAATGTTACACTCAGCAATTATACTTATAGGATTCATATATGAAATATTAAAATGAAAAATATCAAAAGTGAATCCAGAAGTTCAGGATATACAGTTACTAACACTTAACAATATTAATTTTGTTTCGTAGGTGCTATAAAGAAGGCACCTATTAAAGTGAGTGGTAGAGTTAAATGTGGGTTACAGTATCACATGACCTTGGAGACCCAGGTAATATTACTGTCATAATGATTAAAATGTGGAGTAATCCATGTTTTGTTTCTTTCCTGTGTATTTAGTTTGTCTCTTTGTTCCTATTTTTAACCTCACTCCATGTCTTTTGAACTTTATGAGGTAAAATCCATATTTGGTTAAGAGCAAGGCATTGTGCCAGTTTAATGTAATTGTGTCATTTTTACAGGTCAAATATGAAGTTAGGAATGAGCCACCATTAGATCATACAAACCATCATTTTGTTTTTGTTTTCCCACCTAATATTATTGCTTATATTTACAGATTGCCATTTGTAATCCAACAGAGGATGGATTTGATGTTTATGCCTCCACTCAATGGACCTCGGGATGTCAGGAGGCCGTTGCCATGGTACTAGGTGTATCTGATAGCAGGTAAATGTTGATTTCCTTTTTGTTCTGAGATTTCTGTGTTTCGGGTGTTTCACATTGATTAGAATCACTTTCATGATAAAAGATATTTCTGTTAGTATCTGACATACATGTAATGATAATATTTCCATTTCATCTCTTTTTTATGTTAATTTTAACACAGTGTGAATGTGAACGTTCGGCGTTTAGGTGGAGCTTTTGGTAGCAAGATCACTCGTAACTTCATGGTTGCTGCAGGATGTGCTCTGGCTGCTAATGCTGTGAAAAGGTGAACCTGATGTATTTGTTCCTTTGAATGATGTCCTTTAAAAGGGTTTTAAAAGAAACTGAAAATCATACTTCTTCATATGAATTTTTTCTCTTTTGATAGGCCAGTTCGTCTTAACTTGGACTTGCATGTAAACATGAAAATGCTGGGTAAAAGAGCCCCATGGATGGGTGACTATATGGTAACACACAGATAATCTCATTTATGCGGGACTTAGTGTATTATAATCTGAAACTTTTTATTTATAGAACAGGTAAACTTTGGTGTCTCAGTGAATGCAGGACATGCAATTAATGATCTCTTCACGATACTTCAAGTTACAAAATTTGAGATTAGGGCAGAAGCTATATGCTTAAAATTGTAGGATGGTTGCTAGGTCACGGTTTTCAAAATAGAATTTATCTGGAAGATGTCAGATTATTATCAATATTTCATAGCAGTTTTTCATCTTGTGCAATTAGTTTTTAATAATTGGTACTTAAATGGAATTACCAGTACTCATCTTCTACCAGTGAAACTTGGGGAAGAGGGAAATCTCACCCTCTAAAATGTCAGGAAAGGAAAGGATTTTCAATATTTAATACCAAGTAAATACGTGTTTTCTGACTCTATGACAGGTGGGCCTTTCATCAGATGGAATGTTACAGGGAATTAAGCTGACCTACTATGCTGATTGTGGTATAAGTCCTGCCGATAACTGCTTAATCATCATGGGAAAAGGAATGGACAATGGTCAGTTTCACAGATATATACTAGCTGTACTAGTATACAGGGTTACTTTTGCCCTGTGTTATTTTTTTTGCCCTTTAACATTTTCAAACAATTTTGCTCCATTTTGAATTTTCCCAGACATAGTTGTTTCAAAGATGTAAGGTTGTTTACTTTGAATTTGCCTTGATCATTTTAAATTTAACCCTTGCAATTAGGGTGAGAGGGGACGAAAATAAAACGAGGGCAAAAAGTTACCTGTATCTAGTATCAGATATCTGAGTAACAATAATCTTATATATAGCAATTAAAGTATATTTCATAACTTTTAGCTCTTTATACTGGTCAGAGGAACTTAGGTGATAGTAAGGTGTCCATTATTTATCAGTCTGTCAGTTGTTTAGCTGTCTGTATACAACTTATCAAAATGCTGCCCCTGCAACAGTTTTAGTCCAATTTCAATGAAACTTGGCACAGAAGTAGACTACATAAAGATATAAATTTTTATTTTCAATTAACGGTGTTGCCATGTTGTATTAATAATAAATGTATTAATTTTCAGTAATATCTTTCAAATGTTCTACAGTTTTGGTTCAAAATTCAATAAGACATATTAAACCAAAGAGCACAAGTCCATTAACTGGTTTTACATTTCTTGAAACTTTAATGTTACCACTTGTATTAGAAAAATAAGAATAAAGTGTGGATTTATTTAAATATTTTACTCCTCCCACAGTTCTGGGTTGATTTCAGTAAGACTACATGTAGGTATATAGGTAGACTAGACCAAGGCTCAGTGTGTTCCCCTATCAACTGAAATAGATATATTTACAAAAAAGAGTCAAATAAGAAAAAGATAATTAAAACAATCAAAAATCAGTGTAAAACTTCATTGAAAGAGAGAGTGGTAGAGAGATGAGAGAGAGACTTGCTCTAATCTTTCCAAATAGGGTAGAATTATATCTGAAAATCTTTCAAAACGCAACTCATCTTAGAGGTTTGATTTGATTCAATTAAAAGTTTAGATGATATCATGAAAGATAATTCTGTGAATGTTAAACAAGAAAAAGTGTTTCAAGTCCAAGTACAAACCAATAGAGCTACAGTCTCATCAAAGACTTCTGGGTCATTTATTCAGTTGAAGTGGTCCACACATTGTTAATGGTAGTAAACTCTGTTTATGTAATAGCATATTACTCTCCAAACTGGTCTAAATTGTTAACAGTAGTAAACTCTGTTTATGTTAGCATATTACTGTCCCAACTGGTACACGGTTCCTGTGGCACTGAAGACCAACACTCCAATGAATACCTTCTTCAGAGCACCTGGTAGGTATAAAGTTATGAAATGGATATAAAATAATCGGTTGTAAATTGAAAAATGTCTAATGGCGAAAAAGGACCCATATGCTGAAATTTCTTGTTTTTCTAACTTTTAGGATTTTTTTTTTTTTTTTTTTGCTATTTAATTGTTTTAATTGAACAATTATGGCTTACCTCAATATTTCATCATATCACTAGGTTGCTGTCCAACAATATTCATAATGGAATCTATTATGGAACATTGTGCTAAGGAGCTTAACATGGACCCAACAGAATTTAAAAAACAGAATTTTTACAAAAAAGATCAGGTATGTAAAATGTACAATATTTATTATAAAAAAAGAAATTATCAATCATATGAGTTAGGGATATATTGTTTTTTTCTTCATTTTTCAGATTACCCCAGCACAAGTACCACTTTCTTACTGTAACATCAGGGAACTGACCAATGATCTGATGAACTCGGTGGAATACGAAAATCGCAAACAGGCTGTGAAGAATTTTAATGAGGTAGAATTAACGAAAAAGTAAAGCTTTATATGTAATGATAAGTGGCACTTTTTTTAGCTCACCTGAGCTGAAAGCTCAAGTGAGCTTTTCTGATCACATTTTGTCCGTCGTCCATCTGTCTGTCTGTCTGTCTGTCCGTCCGTAAACTTTTCACATTTTTGACTTCTTCTCCAGAACCACTGGGCCAATTTCAACCAAACTTGGCATGAAGCATCTTTGGGTGAAGGGAATTCAAGTTTGTTCAAATGGAGGGCCACGCCCTCTTTCAAGGGGAGATAATTAGAAATTAGTGAAAAAATAATGGCATCATTTAAAAATCTTCTTCTCAAGAACCACTGGGCCAGGAAAGATGAAACTTATGTGGAAACATCCTCAGGTAGTGTAGATTCAAGTTTGTTCAAATCATGACCCCCAGGGGTAGGGAGGGGGGGCACAATGGGAGATCAAAGTTTTACATAGAAATATATAGGAAAATATCTTTAAAAATCTTCTTCTTAAGAACAGCAAAGCCATGATTGGTCATATTTATATGGAAGCATCCTCAGGTAGTGTAGATTCAGTTTTGTTCAAATCATGACCCCCGGGGGTAGGGTGGGGCCACAATGGGGGATCAAAGTTTTTCATAGAAATATATCTATAGGAAAATATCTTTAAAAATCTTCTTCTCAAGAACAGCAAGACCATGATTGGTCATATTATATGGAAGCATCCTCAGGTAGTGTAGATTCAAGTTTGTTCAAATCATGACCCCCGGGGTAGGGTGGGGCTACAATGGGGGATCAAAGTTTTACATAGAAATATATAGGAAAATATCTTTAAAAATCTTCTTCTCAAGAACAGCAAGACCATGATTGGTCATATTATATGGAAGCATCCTCAGGTAGTGTAGATTCAAGTTTGTTCAAATCATGACCCCCGGGGGTGGGGTGGGTGCCACAATGGGGGATCAAAGTTTTACATAGAAATATATAGGAAAATATCTTTAAAAATCTTCCTCTTAAGAACATTAAAGCTATAAATGGTCATATTTATATGGAAGCATCCTCAGGTAGTGTAGATTCAAGTTTGTTCAAATCATGACCCCCTGGGATAGGGTGGGGCCACAATGGGGGATCAAAGTTTTACATAGAAATATATAGGAAAATATCTTTAAAAATCTTCTTCTTAAGAACAGGAAAGCCATGATTGGTCATATTTATATGGAAGCATCCTCAGGTAGTGTAGATTCAGTTTTGTTCAAATCATGACCCCCTGGGATAGGATGGGGTCACAATGGGGGATCAAAGTTTACAGAGGATTATATAGGAAAAAATCTTTTTCTCAAGAACAGAAAAGCCATGATTAGTCAAATTAATATGGAGGCATCCTTGGGAGTGTAGAAATTTGTTCAAATGAGGGCCCCCGGAGGTAGGGTGGGGCCACAATGGGGGATCAAACTTTGACAAATGAATATATAGGAAAAAAATCTGCTGCTCAAGAACAGCAAAGCCATTTGTTATGGTGATATGAAAGCATCATTAGGTAGTTTAAAATTCAACACCCCCCCAACACCCCCTCCCCCCCCCCCTGTAAACTTTTCAATACTGAACTGATTTTTGCTTATTTTCCTAGCCAATGTGCTCAGGTGAGCGATGTGGCCCATGGGCCTCTTGTTTTTTTTTTTTTTTTATTTCTGATCAGTAATCATGTATTGGACACACAAGAATACAAGTATCACAAAATGGATGAAGCATTGCTCAGACTTTAATCTGCATTTTAAAAAAACCCATAATTGTGTATGTTACAGACAAATCTTTGGAAGAAAAAGGGTTTATCAGTAGTCCCAATGAAGTTTGGTGTCCTATGGACAGAGTTTAACTACACGGCTCTAGTGGCTATCCATGGTTATGATGGCAGTGTGTCCATCTCTCATGGAGGAATAGAGTCAGGTCAGGGCATCAACACCAAGGTAAAACATACACTCTGGCTACAAAATATGTAGTCAATGCATTTAAAAAATCACCTCTACTGACAAGCCTTTTTATGTCAGGTTGTATCTTCAGTCACCTTAAGTGCACTGTTTGTGTCAAACTTTTAAAACATCTCCAGCTTCTGATGACAAACTCTGAAACAGTTTCCATGTAACATTTCCTACAAAGATAATGGAGTATATTCTGAATCCCTACTGTTTCAGGTGATACAGGTGTGTGCCCATGCCTTAGGGATTCCTGTGGATTATATTAAAGTAAAACCTACAGATTCTTTGACATCAGCTAACAGTTATATGACGGGAGGCAGTGTAACTAGTGAGCTCTGCTGTAAGGTAAGACTTATATTGTTACTAGTGAGCTCTGTTGTAAGGTAAGTCCTGTATTGTAAATGGTGAACTCTTTTGTAAGGTAAGTCCTGTATTATACCTAGTGAGCTCTGTTGTAAGGTAAGATTTGTATTGTAATTAATGAGTTCTGTTGTAAGGTAAGATCTGTATTGTAACTAGTGAGGTCTGTTGAAACTAGTGAGCTCTGTTGTAAGGGAAGACCTGTATTATAACTAGTGAGCTCTGTTGTAAGTTAAGTCCTGTATTATAAATAGTGAGCACTGTTGAAAGGTAAGACCTGTATTATAACTAGTGAGCTCTGTTGTTAGAGCTCTGTTGTAAGGTAGGTCCAGTATTGTAACTAGTGAGCTCCGTTGTAAGTCCTGTATTGTAACTGGTGAGTTCTGTTGTAAGGTAAGTCCTGTATTGTAACTAGTGAGCTCTGTTGTAAGGTATGTCCTGTATTGTATCTAGGGAGGTCTATTGTAAGGTAAGTTCAGTATTATAGCTAGTGAGCTCTGTTGTAAGGTAAGTCAAGTATTGTAACTAGTGAGCACTGTTGTAAGGTAAGTCCAGTATTGTAACTAGTGAGCTCTGTTGTAAGTCCTGTATTGTAACTGGTGAATTCTGTTGTAAATCCTGTATTGTAGCTAGTGAGCTCTTTTGTAAGGTAAGTCCTGTATTGTAACTAGTGAGCTCTGTTGTAAGGTAAGTCCTGTATTGTAACTAGTGAGCTCTGTTGTAAGTCCTGTATTGTAACTAGTGAGCTCTGTTGTAAGTCCTGTATTGTATCTAGTGAGCTCTGTTGTAAGGTAAGTCCTGTATTGTAACTAGTGAGCTCTGTTGTAAGTCCTGTATTGTATCTAGTGAGCTCTGTTGTAAGGTAAGTCCTGTATTGTAACTAGTGAGCTCTGTTGTAAGTCCTGTATTGTATCTAGTGAGCTCTGTTGTAAGGTAAGTCCTGTATTGTAACTAGTGAGCTCTGTTGTAAGGTAAGTCCTGTATTGTAACTAGTGAGCTCTGTTGTAAGTCCTGTATTGTAACTAGTGAGTTCTGTTGTAAGTCCTGTATTGTAACTAGTGAGCTCTGTTGTAAGGTAAGTCCTGTATTGTAACTAGTGAGCTCTGTTGTAAGTCCTGTATTGTAACTAGTGAGTTCTGTTGTAAGTCCTGTATTGTATCTAGTGAGCTCTGTTGTAAGGTAAGACCTGTATTGTAGCTAGTGAGTTCTGTTGTAAGGTAAGTCCTGTATTGTAACTAGTGAGCTCTGTTGTAAGTCCTGTATTGTATCTAGTGAGCTCTGTTGTAAGGTAAGTCCTGCATTGTAACTAGTGAGCTCTGTTGTAAGGTAAGTCCTGTATTGTAACTAGTGAGCTCAGTTGTAAGTCCTGTATTGTAACTAGTGAGTTCTGTTGTAAGTCCTGTATTGTAGCTAGTGAGCTCTGTTGTAAAGTAAGACAAGTATTATAACTAGTGAGCTCTGTTGTAAAGTAAGACAAGTATTATAATTAGTGAGCTCTGTTGTAAGATATGTCCTGTATTGGAACTAGGGAGCTCTATTGTAAGTCCTATATTCTTGCTAGTAAAGCATTGTTGTAAGTCCTGTATTGTACCTAGTGAGCTCTGTTGTAAGGTACGTTCAGTATTGTAAGTAGTGAGCTCTGTTGTAAGGTAAGCCCTGTATTGTAACTAGTGAGCTCTGTTGTAAGTCCTGTATTCTAATAGTGAGCTCTATTGTAAGGTAAGATCTGTATTGTAACTAGTAAACTCTGTTGTAAGGTAAGTCCTGTATTGTAGCTAGTGAGCTCTGTTGTAAATCCTGTATTGTAACTAGTGAGCTCTGTTGTAAGGTAAGACCTGTATTGTTACTAGTGAGCTCTGTTGTAAGGTAAGTCCTGTATTGTAACTAGTGAGCTCTGTTGTAAGGTAAGTCCTGTATTGTAACTAGTGAGCTCTGTTGTAAGGTAAGACCTGTATTGTTACTAGTGAGCTCTGTTGTAAGGTATGTCCTGTATTGTAACTAGTGAGCTCTGTTGTAAGGTAAGACCTGTATTGTTACAGATTGTTTTTTGTTTGACATTTTTCATTTGAGTTATTCCCAAGGAGGGCAAATTTTTTTTCATTAACCAAATATAACCATGTTTGCAGGAATTTGTTGGGGAAAAATCTTTACTATACAAAAATTATGAAATATATTTAAGAGTCTGAAACATATGTACTATTTTTCAAGGAGACAATATCTTCTACACCTAAATGTCTAGAAGTATTGCATTGTGCATTAATTCAAGAACCAACGATCTGGTCACTTCATCTTCCATAGAAATTTCAATTACCAGTGGTAATTTGACTAATTTTGCATCAACCTTTGGAGAAAAAAAAAACAAGTTGGTACCGGTAATTACCTAAAACTTTAATAATAGGACAAAACTGTCGAAATTAATTCTCCTTCTGTACATGGTATTATGGGAGTAATTTGGTCATTTGGCTATTATGGATATATAATCCACAAGATTGGGGGAAGGGTTATAAGATTATATGTGCAATCAACCACATAAGTCGTTGAATTACATTCATTTTGTCCTGTTTTGGTTGCTGGTTAGGCTGTCCTGCACTGCTGTGAGGGCCTCAACAAAAGAATAGAACCAGTGAAACAGAAGATGGCAGGCAAGTCCTGGAAGGAAGTGATTAACCAGTGTTTTACTGAGGCCATTGATTTGTCAGAGAGATACTGGTAGGTCGATCAACATCCCCTGTGGTCTTGACCCCCAAAATTTGTAATTGATAAATGTCATACAGAATTTGTATGAGCTGGAGAAAGTGACAGAATTTATCATTTTTTAATGTCAGTCTTGAAGTGATAGCTGTATCTCACTTTCACATTTCTACTTTAAGGGAAGCTCCTCACTCACCCCACTTCTCCCAGTACAATGCTTATGGTGTGACCTTGACAGAGGTAACTCTGGACATCTTGACTGGTCAGCACATTATTGACAGGGTGGATTTGTTGTATGATTGTGGAGAAAGGTATTTATTAAAGAACAAGTGATAACACACACTGAAACTGTCTAAACTAGATGTATTTTGATACTGACTGAATTCCAAACTTTTCTGTCATGTTAATTGTTGGACATACGAAACAGTCTCAGAAGTAGGAACTTGTACAGCTTCTTCTTATACTTCATTTATACAAACCTAAAAAAAGGGGTTCCAGGAATTAATAATCAGGATTTTAATGTGCATACAAGATAGAGAAAAGATCCTTACATGGATAATCATGATTGATTTCTGTGAACAGTGAATGCATCACACAATGTATTGAAAAAATGAAAGTGATGCCAAAACCTGCTTTTTAAAAAAAAAAATTCTTTATGTTCAATACAGTATGAGCCCAGAAATTGATATTGGACAGGTAGAGGGAGCATTTGTGATTGGACTGGGGTACTTTCTGCAAGAGGAGATCAAATATGACCCCAAGACAGGACGGCAACTCGTTGATGGGACATGGGTATTTATAGCATTGATTGGGACGCATAGAATTTCATGTAAAATTTGACTTAATCCTGAATTATTCTGACATTGCTACATTTATAGATTCTTCTGTAAATTGGAAGTGTATCAGCTGTTTTTATTTCTTTGTTTCTTAGGAGTACAAAGTTCCACTGACCAAGGATATCCCTGTTGATTTCCGGATCAGTCTTCTGAAGAATGCTCCTAATCCCTTGGGAGTTCTGAGAGCTAAAGGTGAATTTCAAAGAAATGAGAGATATGAATTTTTAAGAATTTAAAAATAGAAATTTTTTAAGAATTTAAAAATAGAAGGGAGGAAATATTTTAGGGACCAGAATGACCAATATATTTGTCTGTCTGTCAGAGATTCCTTCAGCAGACTATGTATTCTCCTCCCTGTTGATCTTCCCTCTATCACCTGCAGACAAATAGGTAGGAATAACTGTGCCCTGTGGGTGTCTGTCTATCTTTACATCTCTGTCTAGCTGAGAGAGATAACTGTGCCCTGTAGGTGACTATCCTTCCATCCCTGTCTAGCTGAGAGAAATGCATGCACTGTCAATACAGAACATTATCACTTTACACCTTCATGGAGACTCAGATCAAAATAAGGGGGTACCCCTCTAATGGAGTTTACAAAGGTACTGACTGTTTCATTGCATCTTATAAGGGTTTTAGGTTGTTAGATTTTCAATATGTATTGCATCATAGAATCTATGGTAATAAAAAGCAAATCAGTAATGTTTATTTTCTTTTAGATACGTTTTTTCATATTAAAATTAATTATAAGAGACAATATGTAAAATAAACCAGAGAACAAAAATTGAACTGCAGAGTTATCTTAGTCCAAGTTCCAGACATGGAACTTCCATCCCTGAGAACCAAACTGAGGTATAACTCTCCAGTAACCACCTTCATATGATGCTCTTTTTCCATGAAAAATAACAAGTATAGAGGAAGTAAAATATAACCAATTCCTTTATCATGTGGATGGTGTTTAACATTGAAAGAAAGTTGTGGAGCACAATTTTTGCAGAACTTGAATCAAACTAAGTAGTATAAAAAAATGATATGAAATAAACCCCAGTACAGAAACTGAACTGCAGGAGAAAGTACTGGAGAGTTCTACCTCATTTTTAAGTTTTCAGGGATGGAAGTTCCATATCTTGAACCTGGAGTAACAATGCTCCGTAGTTTAATTTTTAATGCATTGTCCTCTGGTTCATTGAATGTTGTCTAATATACTGTATGTCATGTAATTGTGGCATACTGCAAAAGTTTTGTTTGTTTTTTGAGGATCAAAGAGTTTCGCTAAAAAATTTGACAAATATAAAATGCCTGAATATTTTAACTCTTTTTTGATAAAATTAGCCGAATATTTCTGACACCAAAAGTATCCAATATAAACCCTAATAGTTCTTGGTTAACTTATGAATATTTGAAGAAAAAAAGACATTGGTGAGTTGTTTATTACTGTAAGAGAATCTGTGATGAAATATACATCAAACTTCTTAACCAAATCATATAAAAGGCATAATGAAACACTGTACCATTTTATTTGTGCCTCTGTATATTTGCAGTCTGCACTAGTGTATATACTGATGAATGATATATCCCAGTGAATTTGAAATAAAAGATACTACAGAGTCTGACATATCTGTTTCATATTTAGATATTTTACTGAAAAAAAGACTTTAATAGTAACCTAACAACAAAACTTTATGATAAATGTGATGACTTCAACTTTTCTATCTTCAACTTCCCTTATTTATGTAGCCCTTATCACATGCATATGGAGTTGATTCAATATGCAAGAGCATGCTTTATGTAAAACAATTTCTAGAACGATGCAAGCTATTGACAAACAAGTTGATGAAACAAGGATATCAACAGTCTCATTTGAAGACAACGTTTCACAATTTCTATGATCCATACAATGACCTTGTCAGCAAATACAATCTATCATTAAGTTGAATGCAGACTGATGTTTTTCATACTAATTGTTAGGCCATTATTTACACATAAAATTGTCTATGGATTTTTGAGTTTGCCCGATCATGAGAAGGAGATGTGACCAGTCAACAGGTGCTGCTTAGTCCACCTTGGCACCTGATCCCACCTTTGATACTTTTAGAGGTCTATGTTTGCTCTGCTCTCGATTTGTATTCTGTCGATGGGCTTTTGAGGTTGATTACTGTTCGTTATCTCTATTTCATGAAATATTGTGAAATTGCTAATTTTCATGGGGGGTTAAATTTCATTGCTTTTGTGGAATGAAGTGACACATGAATGCATAAACCAAACAAAATTTTAAAATTCAGTATTGCAGTATGATGTTTCTCTTTAAACCACAAATTCTAATCCCCTTGAAATTTTAATAGAATTATTTTTTTTAAATTAATATTTCCTCCAACTAATTAGATTTGACCCCTCAAAAATAAGTGATTTTACAGCACATTAATTAACCATCTTTAGTTATGTATCTCTTGTATGAGTAGTGATATAGTAAGACTCTGAATTTGATCTACAGCCTGTGGTGAGCCCCCCTTGTGTATGAGCTGCTCTGCATTGTTTGCCATTAAGCATGCTGTGGAGGCCTTCAGGAGGGATATTGGAAAAGACACTTACTTTGCCCTGGGTATGTACAGAAGTATATTAACAATGCTGAAATAGTTAAACATACTGTATACAGGGAAATTTTTGCCTCCAAATTATCCCCCCCCCCTTGATACAAGTGGGCAAATTTAAGATGGGGTGAATTCAAAGAAGACAGTATAATTTCTTCAACAAATCTGTGACTGGGCTAATTTTAAACAGGGCAATATTGTTTGCAAGTGTGAATGGGCAAAAATAACACAGGGAGAAAATAACCCTGTATACATATTTACCTTTTCTATTAATATAATAAAAATATTATATGGTTTTGATGGTACGTAACATGAAATATGCAATGTTAAGTTGTTTTTTTTCTAGATGCCCCAGCAACTGTAGAGAAAATACAGCAGTCCTGTTTGGTTGATCCGTCCATGTTTGTTATCTAGTGATGAATCTTAACAGGAGAAGAGATTAACATTTATCTCCCAGTCTACATAATATGAATCTAAACATGAGAAGAGATCAACATTAATACATGTATCTCCCAGTCTACATCATTATTCTGTATGTGTATCCTAACAAGTTAATGGAAGGTTTCAGCCCCATCTGAGCATCAAGCTGAAGAGAGCTAATTTCAGATCAGAGTTTGCCTGTTGTCTGTCTGTCTTAAGGCATTTGTTGATCAATCTGTCTGTCTGTTTTCACATTTTTCTTCTCAAGAACCATTGTATCAATTCTAACCACTTAGAAGGGCAATAGCACAAGGGGTTCCAAGAAGGATACTCAGTAAATAATAAAAAGAAGTGGGGCCATAGAACTAGAGTTTACTAGTTACAATACAGGTGTGTGTGTGTGTGTGTGTGTGTTAAGTCATCATAGGAGGTCAATGGGTGAGATGGGGCCATAGTTGGATTTAAAAGCTTTACACAGGAATATATATTGGTAAAATGTGTTCTGTCAAGAACAATATTAATACCATGTAGAACAAATTGATATCAATTCAAGCATCTTTATGTAGTGTAGTTCTGAGTTTATTTTTCAAGCCATATCCCAGGAAGGGGGGGGGGGGTTAAGTCATCATAGGAGGTCAATGGGTATGGAAATATAAAAGACTTTTTTACTTCAGGTGAAGAATAAATCTGTTTCAAATTACTATGAAACACTGTATAGAGAACATTGCCTTGGGCTAAAGTTGTGTATCAAAATGGAGTAGAGGTAGGAATATATCCTGGATTTTTTTTTCGGATGGAGCTAGTCCAATGGTCAAAATATGCAAGCATTTCATAAAGTGTAAATTAAGTTGACCTGCATCAAGGTTAGACTAACGGTAGAGGAACATTTTAATGCCAAAATATATTGACTTCTGCAAGAATGAGGTTTATAATCTGATTATATGAAATTGAACTCTGTACACTATATTAAGTTTTATAATTTATCAAGAAGAGATGTGACATTGTGAGCATGCCATGTTCTCTTAGTATTGTACTAAGACAAAGGGAACTGTATTGGGAATTAAGTATGCTCTTATGCTCTCTTACTAAACAAAAAAAAAAAACAAATGCATATTATATATATTTAGGAAACATTTTTAATTTGTGATTTTTATCATCCTTCTTATTGGAAAAAAAATTAGCCCATGGCTGTCCAGATACCTTTTTTAATTAATATACATTGTATGAAGATATCTTCAAAATATTTGAAATTAAAGACTTGGAAAGTTAAGATTTCTAGTTTATGGATGAGAAAAAAGTGTTGTTGTTTTTTAAATATATTTTAGCTTTTTGCACACAAAATTTTCAGTTAAACATTACAGGGGTGAAAGACTTGGATTCCATCTGCTGGTGTGTGTGTGGGTATTTTTTTAAAGTCTAAAAAAAGCAAATTTTATGTGATTTTTTATTCAAATTTAAATTCAATAATATTTGGATACTAGAAGATACAAGCATATAGTTGATTTCATGGCCTTTAATGCAGAGTTGATCTTGCAAATTAAGGAAATAAGTAAACAATAGTAATAAGGTATTATATGTAATAAGGACTATAATGAACCATTATGAACAACTGAAAAAAAAACATGCTTGTATTGGTAACTCATTTGAAAAGCTAAAAATTTCCCAGTGACAAATACCATATTGCAGGTACTTTTAGCAGAGTGCTAACTTTGGCTTATTTTAGCAGTTTTGTAGTATGCTGCTAAAATTTTAATTGCCAAATTTGCACTCTTCTTTACCACTACTGAACACAAGAAAAATCACTTAAATAACTTTGATTAGTCTATTGTATAAGCAATATAACTTTCACCTGGTGTTTTATTTACTCAAATATTTGTCTAAATCATTATTCAAACGTATATTAAACATACTGAAATTTATCTTAAAGATGAATTTCCTCTCTTTTGCAATGTCACAGAGCTCTGTGTCCACCAAAATTATTGGGATACATTTGAGCATGCAAAATGCCAAATTTTACCCCCGCTTAAGAAACCCGCTATACGGTATGACTGTGTCAGAAACAGGTATTTGTTTAACACATTCTGGATCTTTGTGCTTTACTATCCATCTTACAGAAAACAATATAAATAAACTGCCATAAATGTTTTACTAAGTGCCATTATTGATATTTTAATTTTCTTATGGTGTAGTTATAGAAGTATATAACATATGTATTCTTTTTGTATGTTAACATTTTTACATAAATGTAGTTTTTATCCAAAATATTGTAACTTCATGATTGTGTAATTTTTTCTAGCTCTCCTGGTCAAGGAGAGAAGAGTATATTGGTAAGGTGTTTTTGTCATTCATCCATCTGTCTGTCAGTCTGTTCATCTGTAAACAATTTTTCAAAATGCTGCTCATCTACATTTTTGGTCTGATTTCAATAAAAAACTTCTTTGATGCTTAATTCTTTATATTTGATTTTGATGAATGACATTGCCATAGATTTTGATGAATGACATTGCCATAGATAAAATCTTCTGTAAAATTATTTCAAAATTAATGTTATTTCTCTTTTTTTTCTGATTTCAAAACAAACTTGGAACACACAGGTAAACTACATCATGGTACACATTAAAACTTCAGCGAACAAAGCTGCAGTGGTTAATAAAAATAGAATAATGAGTGAAATTCCTTTAAAACACTACATCTGATACAGTTTTGGTCTGATTTAATGAAATCTGGTACAAAAGAAAACAAAACTAGGACACATAATTGTAGTTATAGGTGTTCCATGGATACTTGAAGAGAAATATCAGAAAATTTTTGAAATGCTAAATTTCCTTCTGTTTTGATATGATTTCAACCAAACTTGATACATAATTAGAAACATGGGGATGAATAATTATGTACATTGTAGTTATTAGATGCCATAGATACTAAAAAAGAATATCTGAAAATCTTTTAAAATGCAACTCTTCCTTCAGTTATGATTTGATCATATTTAGAAAGCAGCAGGATTCATAATTCTGATAATGTAAAGCAAAAGTTGGGTTTTTTTTTGTGTGAACAGTACTGGTATTTCCAACATAAATTATAAAAACTTTCTATTCTGAAAACTGTAGGAGGTGACATTCTGACAGTATTAAATTTTGCATAAAAATGAGTAAGTTCAACAACTGGTATTTTTCTCATTAATCTGTTTTAAAATTATTGAAAATCAAAATTCAAGTTCCATGAACATCTCTGATATATGTACAAGTTGATGTGCAAAATAAAAGTTTGGATCTTGAAAACTGTAGGAGGCTTCATCCAAACAAATGATGTACTCTGTTGGCTGCCGCCAAGCACCTACCCACAATTTTCACAATATCAATAACTGGATTTTTCTGATGAAAAAACCTGCTTAAAAATTGTTTCAAGTCCAGTTGCTACTTTTCTCTACCTCTAAAATTAGTACAAACCAGTAGAGCTACAGTCTCATAACAGACTACTGAGTTACAGTAAAACTGTACTGAGAGGGGATAAAAAATTACATCATAATAGTCAAGAATGATTGCACAAGTTTTACTGAATTAGTTTTTCTGCCCCACAATCATGTAACAGACATCGCGTACGGTGTTAGTGTCAAAAAGTCATTATTACCATTGCGGCAGCACCTACACTATAATGTTTTGGAATCAATGCACTGTATGAAAGCAACATATCATTCAGTCGGTAATTATATACTTAACGCATTTCACAATAAATATTTGTCAAAAAAATCTTTCTATCAGATATATTGATTCGACTATTTGTCAATAACGTCCAAAATGCATGTAGACAGTTACATGTAACGAGAGCGTCGCACATGCATTAACAAAATGTTTATAACTTCTATAAAACAAACAATACAAATATTAAATTAAGCAGAAAAGTTAAAAAAAAATATGATAAGTGCATTTTGCAATCTACAAATACAACCTTTATAAAATAAGGATTGCTTAAGAGAAACAATTTACATTTTGTAAAGCAGTTAAATGACGTAGATTCTTTTTTTAAAGCGTATCCAAAAAAAAAAAAAAAAAAAAAAAAAAATCCAGATTTTAATTTAACTAAGCGAAACACATCATGAGTTACACCCCTAGCTTAAACCACAAGGAGAATGCTTAAGGAAACGAAGTGATTGATTAATACTTTTAATTCTGTCACTCTTGAAACTGAATGCAGGAATTTGACAATATTAATGAAAAAATAAAAAAGTAAACTTTTTAGATTAGCAATAATAGAATTTTCAGTGTTTTTGTACAAAAATACTGATATGAAATTGGCTGAAAAAATGTTGGAAACTAATCTTGTATGAGTTACAGGTTTGGTTTAATGATTCAAATCTGAATCTTGATGACGGTCTCCGAAAAACTCTTTGCCACAATTTATGAGCATAACAAAAAATATATGCAAACACATAAAACATGTTAACTGCATTTGTATCCCTTGGAGCATGAAATCTACAATCTTTATCCTGATCATAAATACAAAACTTTGAAACTGTCCCATTTGAACAGTTCTTGTTCGTTGGGAAGGGATGGGGAGGTTGATTCACAAAGAAACCCAAATTGACGCCAACAGCGTGCACAATGTCAACAATAGATTAGACCCCGAACTGGTTGAACCCCCCCCCCCCCCTCCTTTTTCAAGAATCCTGGATCCACTATGTCCATGATAAGTAGTCTGGAATTGGATTGATTTGTATAGGAAGCTACTGTTGTGTTTATCTATTATAGTACAGATATTGAAAACTGATAGGATAAACACGGTAACCACATTTCAAGACTATGTTCTGTAAATTAACATTTATATTTTTCCTTTGATCACGTAATCAAGAGTTTTATACACTACCTTATTTTATCAATACTAATAAAATATGTAAATTTATAAATGCTTTACTTTGTGAATTAACAAAAAAGAAAAAAATATGCACTATTGAGTTTTCTCCTTATTTTTAGCTCACCTGAAACGAAGATTCAAGTAAGCTTTTCTGATCACCATTCATCCGTCGTCTGTCTGTTGACTTTCACATTTTCAACTTCTCAAGAACAATTGCACCAATTTCGACCCTACTTACCATTAATCATCCTTGAGTGAAGGGGATTCAAGTTTCTTAAGATAAAGGGCCACCATATCCTCTTCAAGGGGGAAATAATCAAGAAAAGAAAAAAAAGTGTCTTAAAAAATCTTCTCAAGAACCATTTGGGCAGAAATAACAAAACTTATATGAAAGTGCCTGACATAGTGTAGATTCAAGTTTGTTCAAATCACAGCCCTCAAAGGTATGTTTGGGGCCAAAATGGGGGATCAAATTTTACATGTGAATATATATGTAAAATCTTTAAAAATCTTCTTCGCAAGAACAGCAAAGCCATGATTAATCATATTTATATGGAAGCATCTTCAGGTAGATTCAAGATTGTTCAAATCATAAACCCCAGGATCAAAGTTTTACAAAGGAATATATAGGGGGGAAATCTTTAAAAATCTTCTCAAGAAAGTCGTGATTATTCATTATAATATGGAAGCATGACTCGGGGGTGTAGGATAGGACCACAATAGCTGGAGATCTATAGTTCGCTGGTCTAAAAAAAATGGGAGGATGACCAGAGAGCTACAGTGCCATCCATTGAAAAAAGGTGTATTTTTATTTTGCTAAAAAAGTGCACTCTTTCTTGATTTATTTCTCCATATATTTAAGATGCCATCTCAAAATATTACAAACCTTGTGTTTCTAACAAGATACAAGATTTTATTAGTCCAATTTTGGCCCCGGGAGGAGCAAAAAGATTTACAAACATGAAACAAAAGAAGGAGGAAGATCCAAATGATAGAACAAACCTGATCTTAAATATAACGAGCAGTGCTTGATTGGCCAGAAATGTGTTTCTAACATATTCATTTACTACTTCCACAATAAAACATTCCCTAAAACCATTCCCAATAGCCCTCCTGGGTCTGTATTTTGAAACCATCAAAAATTTTGCATATTCATACTGCCATTTTGGGTGGAAGACAATTTGGTCCAATACACTTCATGCATGAATTGTACATAGAGTTTTGTTGTGGAAATGGTAAAAGAATAGGTTAGGAACTCATGGTGAAGTGATATTTTAAGAGATACAGAGAAGTAAATCTGGAAACAGTGCACTTTTTTGTGAGCAGCAAGTATACACTTTATAGTTTACCTGAGCTGAAAGCTCAAGTGAGCTTGTCTGATCACCTATTGTCTGTCCGTCCATCTGTAAACTTTTCGCATTTTCAACTTCTTCTCAAAAAGCACCAGGCCAATTTTAACCAAAGTTGATACAAAGCATCCATGGGTAAAGGGAATTCTAAATTGTTAAAATAAAGAGCCAGGTCCCTTTCCAAGGGGAGACAATCCAGAAAAGGCAAAAATAGGGTGAGTTATTTTAAAATAATCTTTTTCTCAAGAACAGCCAGACCAGAAAAGCTGAAACAAATGTAGAAACTTCCATAGGTATTGTAGATTCTAAATTGTTCAAATCATATCCGGTTGGGGTAGGGAGGGGCCACAATGGGAGATCAAAGTTTACATGTACATTATATATAGGAAAAATCTAAGAACCTAAAAGGTGAAACTTATGTGGAAGTTTCCTGAGGTAGTGTAGATTCTAAGTTGTTCAAAACATGGCCCCTGAGGTAGGTGGGGCCACAATGGGGAATCAAAGTTTTACACTGAAGTATAAAGGAAGAATCTTTAAAAATCCTCTTCTCAGGAACCGCTGGATCAGAAAAGATAAAACTTAGGTGAAAGCTTACTAAGGTAGTACAGATTGTAAATTCAGATCATGTCCTCTCTGGGCAGGATTGGACCACAATAGGGAATCAAAGTTTTACACTGAAATATATTTGAAAAATCTTGAATAATCTTCTTCTGAGAACCATTGGACCAGAAAAGATCAAACTGCCTTGAGTAAGTGAAAGGTTACTGAGGTCATGTCGATTGTAAATTGTTCAGATCATGGTCCCTGGGGGTAGGGTGGGCCACAATAGGGATTATGTGGGGAATTTTTAAATATTCCTCTTCTCAAGAACATCAAAGTCATGATGAATTATATTAATATTGGAAGCAGAAAAAAATCTTCCGGTATGTAGATTCATTTTTGTTCAAATCATGGCCCCTTTGTATAGGGTGGGGCCACAGTAGGTGATCAAAAATACATAGGAATATATGTATATTGGGGGAAAAAAGCTGATGGAGAGAGTAGGGCCAAAGTGACTCAGGTGGCATTGTGTCTTGTTTTAATTTTGAGGTCAAAGGGTCAAAGTTTAATGTCAGAAATTCATTATTGCATAAAATGCTTTCCAGATACATGTAATAACTTAGTTAAATTCTCTCTGAGCTTTTTGAATGAAGTTATATATCATAATTCCTAGTGACTTTAAGAAGACTCCTTTTGATTTTAGGTCAAAAGGTCAAGGTCAAGGCTGAAATTCATATAATGCAAAAAATGTTTTCTAGATGAAATTATATCATAACTCCCAGTGACTTACAGATGACCCCTTCTAATTTTTAGTTCAAAAGGTCAAAGTCAGTAATTCACATCTTCCATAAATTGGTTTCCTGGTAATGACTGTTTTTTTTGGGGGGGGGGGTGCAATAAAATTTTATACCTTTAATCAGTATGACTTAAAAAGGAGTCTTATTAATTTTCGCTTGACTCCTCTGAGCTTGACCATGAGTCAAATGTAGGTTATTTAAAATAACTTAATTGTAATTCATAGCTAGTGGTGCCGATCTGCCAAACTGTATGATAAATAAATATCCGTTTACTTGTAGAATTTTAGTTTGGCAAGTACAAGAATCGATATTATTTGGATGAGAAGGTAAAATACATTTGTGTGCCAATTACTGGTCTTTATATCGAAATATACGCAACGAACCACATCCATTTGCTTAACACTTGGTTTTATCTACATTTGATTTGAGGTCTTTCCTGAAAAATCCCCAGCTAAATATATATATATATATATATATATATATATATATATATATATATATATATATATATATATATATATATATATATATATATATATATATATATATTAAAGCTGGGAGAGTGCTATGGTCGCCGTTTTAAAGTGTCGTTGTTGCTGCAAGAAGGTTGCCACCTCAGCCTTACATTAAAACACATTGGATTCATGGGTCTCTGTAGAGATAACCGAAAATTAGAGGGCTTTGATACGAAAATAATTTTTATGCAACCACCATCTTTTCTTCCGCCTGTAATAAGATAGATATACATTACGGATACCTTGAGATACCACCCGATCCGATACTTATTAGCTGTTACTTTAACAAACTTATTAGTGTTATTTGCATGCTTATAAGACTCATAAAGTCTGACTTTTAGACCGTGCGGTCTACCACGGTATATTATTAGCTTCAACTAGCAAAGGCTAACAATATGATATAAAGTATACCGCGGTCTATTATTATCTTTAAAAAGAACCTTGTAAATAGCAGCAAATCAACTCTTGAATGCCAGGGGTCATCGCTTCGAAAAAATAAAATAAAAATTATTTTATTTATCGATTTTCAAATTATTTAATTTCTTCTTATATCTAAAATGATCAATGTGAAATCGGAAAAAAAAAAATTAAATAAAAAAATCTCGTTACGTCACATCGCCGAGTCAAATTCGCGGGAACATTCCACGAGATCTGACTGCCTGGAAATGTCACATGTATCCCATGATTTGGTAAGTAATTAGATCTATAGCAAAATGAAGTGCAGTCGAATGACGATGCATAAATATATATATATGTAGTAGGGATATTTGTAGAAGCACCTCTAAAGAGATCAGTGATCCCATTTCTCGAATTTCCTCTATCACCACATTTCGCCATTTGTGAAGAACACAGTGAGTGTAGATGGTATCAGTATTATGATTTAATATATGTATAAGCATAGGTTTTAATGATTTTGTCTCATTGATATGAATTTTACCATGGATTTACAGTTTTAATCAAATTTTCAGTAAGCACCCCAAGTGAGTGAAAGGGGGGGGGGGCATTGTTAATGAATTTACTTTATTAGTTTATACAGTTATCCATAAAGGTCACCTTTGCCTTGAAAAGTAGAGCAATCTCTTGTCTCTTCTACTTCATGTCCTTTGTATGAACTTCAATTGAAGGAAATACTTATATGGTTTATACTTTTTATTTAACCTGTGGCCTTAATAAATTATGATTTGTGTATGTGGGTTTATTTTATACACACAAATATCCAACACATTTAAAATAGCTGTTTTTAATAATATATATCCCTATTTGAAGCTTACTTTGTCCTGTCAAAAAATCTTATTTAACATACAACCTTACAAATGTTAATGTTCCAAAATGGTGGAAAACAAGATAGGTCAAAATGAAATCAATCCTGAATCTGTAAATCATCTAATAAAAAACTTTGTGAAACAGTGATAATATTTTCATATTATATATTTTCTATTACTGTGGAGGTATACCATATAAGCAACACAGTTTTATAAAAGCCACACTGCTCATGATATATATGGTATCATTATTTGGCCATATCCTGGTGTTGCCCTTTATAATTAGGAATATATAATAAATTAATAATAATAGGCCTATATATATAATTATATAAAAGTTCAAAGAAGATGGGCGTGTTTGGCGTGTGATCTGCATACGAAACATTATTTATAGTTTAAATTTCTACAATTTGGTCGGTTGACCACAGCTGGACATACTTTATAAAGTTACGCACATGGAAACATGTTACATTTAGTTTGAAATACTTCGTCAAATTTAATATATATGTCCGCTCATCTTAATAATTACTACATGGATGTAAAACTTGGTAACGCTTCACATAAATGATAAATACATGTAGGGTATAGTTAAATGCAATTACAAGTACATATTATATGTACTATATATTATCAGTAGGTTGGAAGAATTGCTATTGCTTTCGGTGCAACAAAACCACAATTTATCCATTTGAAAATAAATCAGGACATAAAATTAAACTGACAAAAGAATTGATTTTTTGTACTAAAAAATATTAACGTTCCATGCGAGGATCGAACCAAAAATATTTCTTTTTTATTGCACTGGATGGGTATCGCATACTACTGAGCTATCACCGCTACACACACTTTATGGTTTTTAAAGTGACAATGAAGCACCGCATTTACACATTGGAATTTTTTTTTTAGGAAAAGTTCATTTTTTTATCGTCTCTTGGTCTTCTCTCCATTTTTTACAAATGTTTATTAGCTTCTTTGAATTAAAATGCACACAAATAACATTTCAAAATCATGGAGAGATGACCATTAAGAGATAGCAAATTTTTAGAAAAATGTGTTTAAAAATGTAACATTTTGTACCAATTGACTCACCTAGCCAATTTTCAAGTTCTTTTTACGCAAATCAAAATACAATATCGGGAAAATATTTCCCTTTCCTATTTCACAGGAACCCGATACATGAAAAGAATGCTAAAATTTCATGTGACAGATCAATGAAATTTTCACTTTTCAAGTGTGCCCAGATTCCTGCCAAATGCCAATTAAAGGTGCCCTCGGTCTTTGTTCATGTCAAGATTCAAACATAAAAGCTAGTCAATATTATGAAAGGAGAATACTTGTACAGTCACTTGGGGCATGGACCCCCCCCCCCTTCCATTTTTTTTAGCTCACCTTAGCCAAAGGCTCAAGTAAGCTTTTCTGATCAAAATTTGTCCGTTGTCTGTCGGCAGCGTTGTTGTCGTAAACTTTTCACATTTTCATCTTCTTCTCCAGAACCACTGGGCCAATTTCAACCAAACTTGGCACAGAGTATCCTTGGGTAAAGGGGATTCAAGTTTGTTCAAATGAAGGGCCACACCTTCTTTCAAGGGAGATAATTATGAATTCGTGAAAAATTAATGGCATCATTAAAAAATCTTCTTCTCAAGAACCACTGTGCTTGAAAATATGAAACTTATGTGGAAGCATCCTCAGGTAGTGTAGATTCAAGTTTGTTCAAATCATGACCCCCAGGGGTCGGGTGGGGCCACAATGGGCGATCAAAGTTTTACATAGGAATATATAGGAAAAATCTTTAAAAATCTTTTTCTCAAGAACAGCAAAGCCATGATTGGTCTTATTTATATGGTAGCATCCTGAGGTAGTGTACATTCAAATTTGTTCAAATCATGGCCCCTGGGGGTAGGGTGGGGCCACAATGGGCAATCAAAGTTTTACATAGGAATACATGGGGAAAATCTTTAAAAATCTTCTTCTCAAGAACAGCAAAGCCATGATTGGTCATATTTATATGGAAACATTCTTAGATAGTGTAGATTCAAGTTTGTTCAAATCATGACCCCCGGGGTAGGGTGGGGCCACAATGGGTGATCAAAGATTTACATAGGAATACATAGGAAAAATCTTTAAAAATCTTCTTCTGAAGAACAGCAAAGCCATGATTGGTCATATTCAAATGGAAGCATCCTTGGGTAATGTAGATTCAAATGTGTTCAATTAATGACCCCCCAGGAGAATAGAGGGGCCATAACAGGGGATCATAGTTATACAAAGGATATCAATAAAAATGTTCTTCTTAAGAACAGCAAAGCTGTTATTTGTCATATTAATTCAAAAGAATCCCATGAAGTATAGATTCAAGTTAGTTCAAATCAACCCCCCCCCCCCCAACCACTTTTAAATTTAAACTTTTCAACCTTTCAAGGCTGAACTGATTTCTGCTTTTTCCAGCTATAGTGCTCAGGTGAGCAATGTGGCCCCTGGGCCTCTTGTTTCATTTTAAATCTGGGATCCAAACACTTGTTCATAGTAGGGCTGGGACAATACAACTTTTTAGCTCACCTGAGCCGAAGGCTCAAGTGAGCTTTTCTGATCGAAATTTGTCTTTTGTCTGTCATCGTTGTTGTAAACTTTTCACGTTTTCATCTTCTCCTCAAAAACCACTGGGCAAATTTCAACCAAACTTACCACAAAGTACCCTTGGGTAAAGGGGATTCAACTTTATTCAAATGAAGGGCCATGCCTTCTTCCAAGGGGAGATAATTATAATTTCGTGAAAATTAATGGCATCATTTAAAAATCTTCCTCTCAAGAACCACTGTGCTTGAAAACATGAAACTTATGTGGAATCATTGTGAGGTAGTGTAGATTCAAGTTTGTTCAAATCTTGACCCTTGGGGGTATGGTGGGGCCACAAAGGGGGATCAAAGTTTTACATAGGAATACATAAGAAAAATCTTTCAAAATCTTCTTCTCAAGAACAGCAAAGCCATGATTAGATATATTTATATGGAAGCATCCTCAGGTAGTGTAGATTCAATTTTGTTCAAATCATGACCCCCCCGGGGGGGGGGGGCAAAATGGGGGATCAAAGTTTTACATAGGAATTCATAAAAAATCTTTATAAATCTTCTTCTCAAAAACAGCAAAGTCATATTGATTGGTCATGATAATATAAAAGGATCCTAAGGTAATGTAGATTTAAATTTGTTCAAATCATGACCCCCAGGAGAATAGAAAGCCATAACAGGGGATCATAGTTATACAAAGGAATATAAAGGATATATCAATAAAAATTTTCATCTGAAGAACAGCAAAGCCATTATGTATCATATTAATTCAAAAGCATCCTTAGGAAGTGTAGATTCAAGTTTGTTCAAATCATTCCCCCTTTCCGAACCACTTTTATATTTAAACTTTTCAATACTGAACTGATTTCTGCTTTTTCCTAGCCAAAGTGCTCAGGTGAGCGATGTGACCCCTGGGCCTCTTATGCATCCTGGGGTAGTGTAAATTTTAAATTGTTGAAATCATGGCCCCCGGGGGTAGGGTGGGGCCACAATAGGGTATCAAAATTTTACATTGAAATATATAGGCAAAATCTTCTCCAAGAACCACTGGGTAAGGGCGAAACGATTACACGTGTAAAAGGCGACGTTTCGATTAAATGCTCTAAATGTTTACAAATTGAGTAAACGTTTACACAAAGGTCATTATCAATGTCTATCAGAAATAAAGTTTAATACAAACAAGTTGTTTTATTTCATATTTACCAAAGAAAGCAGTCTTTTACAAATTGTTAACAATATTGTTTTTTCTTTGAACCTAACCGGAAACATGATATTAAACAAAACTATCTAAAATCCAAGAGGTCTAACATAATTAATTCCAATTTCTGAGGAGTGAATACTAGCGATGTATTATGATTTTAATTTATTTTTCCAAGTATATGTTCTAAAATAATTAAATAACCTTTTCTGTTGCTTTTTATTGCTAAGAAAGTACAAATTATCATGCTTTTAAGTTATAACAGAACTACGCTTTTTCTACGTCCGGTATGTAGCCAAACAAACCATTAAATAAATGCAATATTGGTTGACGGTGTAGAAAGTGAATGAGTTTAATGTGCTTCATTTTCTTTAGTCATAAAAGCCAACAAATAAATAGCAATAACAACTCATACTTACATAATAGTGAAAGAATGGTTTATTAAATTAGTGTTTCATGAGTAAGTAGCCATAAAAATTCAACATAAAATATTCTCCCGTTTAAACGGTACCATTTCGTTTATTGCTGTTTGTTTAAACATTTACAAAATTCAGTAAACGTTTCACCCTTACCACTGGGCCAAAAGAGCTGAAACTTATGTGGAAGCATCCTGGGGTAGTGTAAATTCTAAATTGTTGAAATCATGGCCCCCGGGGTAGGGT